ATTGGTTTTCTTGTTGGTTACTCATCAAAGTCCAAAGCATATAGAGTATTTAATCAGGCCACCGGCTTGGTTGAAGAAACATATGATGTGGAATTTGATGAATCTAACGGCTCCCAAGGAGCACATGAGAATCTTGATGATGTAGGCGATGAACCATTGAGGGAGGCAATGAAGAACATTATGGTTGGAGACATCAAGCCTCAAGATGATGAAGACGATGTACAAGTGATCAATCCACCTTCTTCATCAAATGTGCCACAAGATGGTGAAAAAGATGGAAGAGTAGAAAATGAAGACACTCATGTCTTCCATGATCAAATGGTGGTACAAGCACAAGATGTTGATGCTCCACAACCTCCTCCTCAAGTGGTCAATAGAAGAAATACACCTCTACTACAAGATCATCCACAAGATCTCATCATAGGGAGTCCATCAAAGGGTGTAATGACCCGCTCACAAAAACTTGCTTTATTTATTACTCATCACTCTTTTGTCTCTTGCTTTGAGCCTACTAAGGTTGAAGAAGCTCTTCAAGATCTGGATTGGATAAATGCCATGCATGAAGAGTTGAACAACTTCACCCGCAATGAAGTTTGGACTCTTGAAGAGCGGCCAAAAGGTGCAAGATTCATTGGAACAAAGTAGGTGTTCTGCAACAAGCAAGATGATCAAGGCGTAGTTGTGAGGAACAAGGCAAGACTAGTTGCAAAGGGGTTCTCTCAAGTTGAAGGTTTGGATTTTGGAGAGACCTTTGCACTGGTTGCAAGACTAGAAGCCATTCGTATCCTTCTTGCATATGCATCACATCATGAAATAAAATTGTATCAAATAGATGTGAAAAGTGCATTTTTAAATGACTTTATTAATGAACTAGTCTATGTTGATAAATCTCTCGGGTTTGAAGACCCTAGATGTCCTAATCATGTTTATAGGTTGTCCAAGGCGTTATATGGGCTTAAGCAAGCCCCAAGAGCTTGGCATGAGCGCCTTCGGGACTTCCTCATTGAGAAGGGCTTCACCATTGGGAAGGTCGACACCACACTATTCACCAAGAAGCTTGATGGGCATATCTTCATTTGTCAAGTGTATGTTGATGATATCATTTTTGGATCATCAAATGAAGACTCTTGCAAAGAATTTGGTGAATTGATGTCGAAGGAGTTCGAGATGTCAATGATTGGAGAGCTTACATTCTTTCTTGGTTTTCAAATCAAGCAAATGAGAGAAAGGATTTTCATCTCTCAAGAGAAATATACAAATGATCTTCTCAAGAGATTCAAGATGGATGAATGTAAGCCAATCAAGACACCAATGCCAACTAATGGACATCTCGACCTAGATGAGGGAGGTAACACGGTTGATCAAACTCTTTATCGCTCTATGATTGGTAGATTGTTATATTTAACCGTATCTAGGCCCGACATCATGTTTAGTGTGTGTATGTGTGCTAGATTTCAAGCTAATCTTAAGGAAACTCATTTGATTGCTGTTAAAAGAATCCTTAGGTATCTTAAGCACACACCAAACATTGGCCTTTGGTATTCTAAAGGAGCTATATTTGAATTAGTTGGCTATTCCAATTCGGATTATACCGGTTGCAAAGTTGATAGAAAAAGCACATCTGGAGGGTGTCATTTGCTTGGTAGATCACTTGTGTCTTGGTCTTCCAAGAAATAAAATAGTGTGGCTTTGTCCACCGCCAAAGCGGAATACATTGCCGCGGGTGCTTGTTGTGCACAAATTCTTTATATGAAACAAACTTTGCTAGACTATGGTGTAGTTCTAGAAAAAGTACCTCTTTTGTGCGACAATGAAAGTGCGGTAAAACTTGCAAATAATTCAGTTCAACACTCTCGCACCAAGCACATAGATATCTGCCATCACTTTCTTAGAGATCATGTTGCAAAGAATGATATTTCACTAGAAGGTGTAAGGACCGAGGATCAATTGGCGGATATCTTCACTAAACCGCTAGATGAGGCGACTTTTTGTCGATTATGGAATGAGCTCAATGTGCTTGATTTTAGTAACTTCACTAAAAAATGAGCTTGTGTTGTCCCTTGCATTGAATTGTAATATACAACATGTTTAATTTTTGGTAATGCATATAGGGCTTGTCTAACATGATTAAGATAACAGCCACAAAGCGTGTGAAGAAGCTTAACCTTGGATCAAACTTGACAAGCAACTAGATTTATTTCAAGTATTGCATTGCATATGCATGAATGTTACTTTGTCGTTTATCTTCAATTGCCCTCTTATTGCGTATTTTCTTAAAAAGAATTATAGCCTAAGGCAAAATATTTTGAAAATTTTGAGGGTTTGAGAGAGGTCACTCACATCAGTCTCAATTGATGTTTATTTGGGTCTTGTTAAAGTTGGGATTTTATTGGGAACAGGCAGCACGAAGGACTTGGAAGATTTGCTGGAAAAAGGGTGACCGAACGCTGCACCGGACTCTGAAGTCTAGTGTTTGGTCAGTTCATAGGAGGTGAACCTGTTGCGAAGGAGTGACCGGACTCTGCTGTTCAACGTCCGGTTAGATGGTGGCTCAGCGTCCGGTCGATCGAAGACAAAGGAGACAACTTGCACCGGACTCTGGCTGCATCCGGTCGGGGTTCATCGGACGCGCGTCGATCACGATTCGTGGGTTTTGAACCTCTCGGAATCGGCCCGAGCACTGGTGGGAGCGTTTAATTCGCCGCCACCGAAGCGTCCGGTCAATAGATATCGTCGCGGCATCGAGGAATCTTTCGCTTTATATTCCATCGGGGACCCTTATAACCCGACGCTGTCGTGACCTGCATCAGATTCAACCGTCGCGCCGACATCGCCGAGCTCGTGCCCTAGCCACGCATCTCGCCGAGCCGCTTCGCCTCCGGCGCCCAGACGCCGACGCCTAAACAACCGTGTTTTCCCACGCGCCAAAGACACATGCGCCGTGCCTTCGAGCCGCTCGCCCGCCGCTGCCTGCCGTGCCATCCACTCCTGCGTCGCCGCCCACACCGTGCCCTAGCGCTGCCTTGGCCCTGTCCTACTTTAGCGCCGCATCCAGTGCCCTCATTGCATTGCTTGGCTGCCGAACTTCGCCGCCACCCTAACCCTAGATGTTCAGTTGCCGACCCGGTGGTTCCCCGATTCGTTCCTCTTCTCGTTGATCCAGTGCTCTTCTCGAACCATCCGCCGTTCGCTAGATCCTTTGCCGCGCTCTCCGATGGTTGCGCATCTTGAGCACGGGCGCGAGTCGCGAGGCGAGTCCCTTTGCCTCCACGCCATAGACAACGTCTGCCGCCAATCTTGTCGACTCAGGCGCTGGCATCGATGGGAGGAGAAGCAGCAGGGGAGAAGATAATGTTGTGTTTGCGAAACAAGAGCAGCCGAGCAGGGGAGAGGATATGATCGTACTGGATCTATAGGAAGGAAGCGTCATGCAGATAAGCATGGTGTGGGATTTTTTTTATCCATACAAGGATGCGTTTTGACGGTGGGTAAGCTGTCCGATTTTGACTGAGGCGTCGGACGCCCTGAGCGTAGCATTCCTGTTAATTTTAAGTGAAATCCGCTGTGTCTGTCCTGTGTTCTCAAATAGATCAATGCTGACTTCTTAAACTTGATAAATGTATCACTTATTCATTTAAGCCACTGCCACTAGGTCCCATATGGCCATATCACTTGATGATCCAGTGAGTATGTTGTTCCATCATTCCGTGGCTCCCTCCTATGTTGCATGCCTCTATTCTTTACCAGATGATTTAGCGGAGCATCTCCAAGAGATTAGCCAAAAAAACTAACTAAATTTACTGATTTAGCTACTCTCTAAATTAGATTTGATAAAAAATGCTATAGCACTCCAATAGACTCTGTAAAACTAAGAGACTGGATAGCTAGTGAGGTATGCTATCCAAAAGTAGAGAGCGAGTGAGATGGGATGGAGAGCTATTAAATTTGGAGAGTCATTTACAAAGTTTATTGAAGACGTTTTTCTTTTATAATAAGCCAAATTTACTTTTAGAAAACGATTTGGCTACTCTCTCGGAGGATGCTCTTACCGTGAGCGGATGATCTGATGATTGTGTGGCCATGCCATTAGACCTGTATAACCTTTTGTCTATTATCATACAATTGGGTTCTCCTCGGCGAATGATTCGATGATACTCTGCACAGAGTTTTCTCTGGACTATCAGCTCTCTACACCTTACTGGACCATTCCATGATCTCTTGTTTCTACTTTTTTTTTCCGGTGTGATTTTACTAGTTTTGTGTTCAAAGTGTCTCTAAGATGATATTGTTTCTGTAGTTTGCTCTATGGACTTCTCAACACTGATCCCTTGAATCCATAGGATTTAAATTAACATGTTCAATACATCTTAACATATATGTTAATCTTATTGCTTTTGTTGTCATCTCAATCATCAAGACTGTAATACCAAACAGGCCCTAAGTTCATGAGCATCTAAGAAAACCGTGGGAATTCATGCCGCATTACTGTACCCCCACGTAATCAGCCTATCTAAATGTGCAACAAATAACTTGTGGCATGACAAGCAAAAAAGCTAACGTTTCAGACAACTGCAGGTCTAAAATCTTGTCTGAGACGTCAGCTTTTGCTGACCGGGGGCTACTATCAATACTTAGGGCTTCCCCAAAAAGGACATGGCGTGCTGCCCAGATACCACGTAGGCACCAAACATCCACGTCAAAAAGACTTGTAGCGTTGCAGCACGCAGAGTGGCCTGCAAAAGAGGCAGTGGTCTTGTCGGACCAAAAGATCCAGCTACTACGGGAGATGAGTAGAGAGTGTGGTTTAAGAGGAAAAAGTGGCCTGCAGAAGAGACGTGATGTGATGGTGCAGAAAAAAAGCAGAGCTACCTGCGATGGGGGTGTGTTAGCAAAGAGCACAGCTATCTACGTGTAGTGATCCTTTTAGCCAAGGCCAACAGCAGGTGCTGCCTCAGTTGGTGGTGCCCTTAGGCCACCCTCAACGTGCCACCGCCGCCAAATCAGCCTGTAACTGCCACATTAAATGGATCAGCAGCCTCGCAGAGGATGGTAGTGGCCTGCAGAGGAAACACAGCCTCGTCTTTGCGGAAGTAACAGTGAAGCACGCATCGCAAGAACGGAGCACCTATTTGTGAGAGAGAGAGAGAGAGTTGGAGGAGGAAAGGTAACTGCATGATGTCCTTTTTACACTGCAAAAGCTGTAAAAGACTGCAATAACTTTAGACCTTGTTTAGTTCCCTTCAAAATTCCAATTTTTTTCACTCTTTCTCCGTCACATCAATTTTTAGCCGTTTACATGGAGTATTAAATGTAGGTAAAAAAAAAACTAATTACACAGTTTAGTTGAAAATCACGAGATAAATCTTTTGAGCCTAGTTGGTCCACGATTGGACAATATTTGCCAAATAAGACGAAAGTGGTACTATTCATCAGGTTGAAAAAAATTTCAATCTAAACATGGCCTTAGTTGATGGTTGATAGGTGATAACCCTAAAGTTGTTTGCTGCACACGTGACACGGTACTTTTTGCCAAGGCTAACATGTCTATGCGCCTGTGTTGGTGCTGTCCTTGTTATTCAAGAATGCACCCATCCATCCCGGGAACTTATTGCAAGATGCATTCAGCGTTCATATGTCAAAAACAATATACGTGGAAAGAGAACCTCACGGAGGGGAAAGGGAAAAATGTACAGTTTCAGATTGTACATCAACTACATAGAGGAAAAGAGTCCAAAAACTTGCATATGGGCAGCCAGGCAATTCCTACAACATCATCAAAAGAATACAGAAAAAAAATTTAGGTCAACGAAAAACAGAAACAGCTGAAGCTGAAGATAATATTACTAAACAAAGCAACTGGCGGTCTGAAAGATCCGCCACCTACGTTTGTTTCTGGCTAGACGATTTCTTAGCAGAACTAAAGTTCAAAAGAACGGTGCATACGTCGCCCACCATACCGTCGATGCTGTCCTCCCATTTCTCATATGCTTTGAAGCCTGTGAAAACCAGAGCAGTACCTGTCGTTGACATGAATTTCTCACACCATCAGTCATGTGTTCATGCTTTTTATATTGCGGGGTCTAAGGGAAGAGTGACAGTTTTTCATTACCTATTTTGAATGCAGCCTGAGAAGACATGGAACTAAGGATGCTGACAACCAGCAGAGAGAGTGAGACCTGGCAAAAACGAAGGACAATGATATTTTAACATAAAAAGTACACAAACAATCACTATGCTTCACGGCATTTGGAAATTGATCTGGGAAGCATGTAACAAAAATTCTAATCTAATGAAAGTATCAGACAGAAGCAGGGCTTAACATGCCTTGAGAAACAATAGCCAATCATTTCCTCTGCAAAGAGATCTTAGCGAACTGACTAAAGAGTTCCAACACGAAGTAATAGAATGAGCAATATGATGAGCCTGTGCCTGTGTGATGTGAAAATTAGAGGCCTCAAGTTTCTCAACCTTGTGACCGAACCTGCAAAAGTATTATCAAATATAGTAAATTAGAACACTCAACAAATTGCAATGATGGAAAAAAGATCAAAATAGCAGTTAACCATTTGATAGCATGTAAATTTAACAAATGAAAAAGGGATATTAAAGGACTGTACACATTTGATGGCAGCATGCCATGAATGAATAAGAACAGAGCAGTCAGTGACAAAAGCTTTGCCATCGCTGTGATGAAGGTGTAACCACATGTAAATAAATGGTAGTAGATAACAGCCAACAGTAGAAGCACTGTCACAGTTTGCTTCGCATCTTCCCAAAGTACTGTTTTTGCAACTGCATATTAATAGATAAATTGGTAAGCATTTCGAATGTGGAAGTACAAAAGTACAATGAATATACAGGGTGTGTATGGGCACAAGGGACAAAGGTATAGATTCCTACGATTTCCATTCCCAAGGAAAATTGAAGCCTTTGATATACTCCTCTGATTCTGAGCTTGTAGATGGGGGTACGACTCTACTGTTCTCTTCAGTCCATCCTTAATTTAAAATAGGCCATCAATTACTTATTACAAAGTAGTATAAAAAAACAACATGTCAGAAAGATCACTAATGAAATTAAAGGATATAGATAAGAACCTTAAGGGACACAAGAGGTTCATAACCAAGCTGGTCCTTTGCTCTTGAGCAGCTGAATGTCCTGTTACATGAGAGCAGCCTGATCCTTGAAGGGGTCAGCTGAGGAACTTTCATTCCATACTTAGCAAATTTCTGGTAAGTCCATTCTACAACATGAGCCACTGGCATCATAACAGAGACTGGTATTTTTATTGAAGGCCTGTAATGAAGTTCAAACACATTAGTACACTGGTTTCTGCCCTGCTGATATAGACATGAAACAGGTTTGGACATGAAACACATTAGTACACTGGTTTCTGCCGCTTGTGCTGATTTGTACGGCTGATTTGTTGGGAGAGAAAAACACTATACCATGGCTGATAAGCCAGCTTATTAGAGCAGCCGAACAGAGCCGTTCTTTTCATTGGCTGTACCATGTAGGTTAATGCGTAACATGGAAGGGCACAGTAAAGTTAAGTGCGGAAGGTAAACATCTGATATCAGAAACAGCTAAACTGACTTCAGTAGCATATGTAATCATGAGACCAAGCAATCTATACATGAGCTTAGAGAATGGCTAAAAATGATTTATCTCTCCATATCTTAATAAATAGATAAATTCTCAGAGTTTGGAAATAATGCCTTGTTTTAAATAGGGAAGAAAGGAAAGAAAATCATCTCGACACAGTCAAAAGTTAGCAGTCAATTAAGCTTAATATGAAACTCGAATAAATTTACAAATAATCCAAACCTACAGGAGGAATTCAGTGAACATGAGATAATACTTCATGAGCTTTCTAGTTATGTGGAAAGTTATTTGTCATAGATTTGGCTGGTAAGTGGTAACAAATGTCTAAGTATACATACATTATTCTACATATAAGGTCATTGTGAAACATGAATACCTTTCATATCCAAGACCTTCTAAAATCAATGACATGAACTCCCAGAATTTTATAGGCTCCATATTTGTTATGAAATAGGTCTAGAAAAGCAATATCAAATACGATTAGTGAATCTTGAAAGTAAGATGCTGAGCAAAAGATCCAAAGTTCCCCAGCAGTTTATATGTAAGTGAAATTCATACTTTTCCAGCGGCTATCTTTGCACCATCTTCAGATGATAGAGTTTTCTCTGCACAAACATGGCCATATGCCACATTTTCCACGTAGGTGAAATCATAGTAGTTGTTCCCATCACCAATAATGTACTGCATAGGAAGCCGATAATGTTTTTTCAGGAAGTATTAAAATGAAAAACAGTTTCATATGAAGCTTTTCTAAAATATAAAGGGCTAAAAATTTAGCTCACCAATATTTTTTTTGTCAAATATGATTTCAGCAACTAATTAAAACAAATGGGTACTCTGAATCTATATATAAGAGTTGTCAATATGCACATGTGTTCATCAACATTTACTAAACTAGCATACTTAAGTCGATGTATGTAGCTATTCTTACTTTGGACTTCCCTGCCCTTGCAGCAGCAACCAAAGATGGAACCATTAGCTTATCACCAGGGCCAAAAATGCTACTTGGGCGTATACAGCACGTAAGAAGCCCTTCCCTACCATTAGCCCTCATCACAAGCCTTTCTGCATCTGCTTTCGTTTCTGAATATGAATCATTAAACTGGAGTAAGAAAACATCATGTCAGAAAAGATAGAAACAAGTGCAAGCCATTGACAAATCAAAAGAATGAAATGTGTATGAAACAGACCTTATCAGGGTAAGGCATTGATTCATCTGCATTAAAAATTCCATGAACTCCATCAAACACGACACTCGGTGAACTAGTGTAGATGAGTCTCTTCACCTTGCAACGGATACAAGCATCAATAACATTCTTCGTTCCTGTGTCACATACAAATCATTGCAATAAACAAGGTTTACTTGTTAATTGTTACTGATATAGTGATATATAATGGCAATAAGAAAAACATGGTCAATTTGGTGTCATCTCAATATCTCATAAACAAAACTAAGTGTTGTGAGTAATAATGAAGTAGGAACCAAAGCTGGCTACACACAAGTTAGCAGTACCAAGTACCAACCCTCAACATTGACTGCATAATGAAGGTGGAAGTTGTTGATGGATGAATCTGGAGCAGCCATATGGAAAACTACTTCTGCCCCTTCAAAAGCTGCAGATAAAACACACACACACAATGGAATAAGCACAAAGACTGCATGCATCAATCGATCAATTGAGTACTGCAAATAATATCTATTTCATATTAGAACCAACTCATATAGTTAAGACTTATAGACTAGCATCGGGATAAAGTTGAGTGATTTCATAATGTTGCAAAAGATTGACAATCTTTAGAACTGCGAAGACAATTGCAACTAACATGGAGAGCTCTGAAAGTAAAATAATTGATCAAAAAAGGTTAGCTCCATCACATATGTACTTATGTCCCTATGATACTAAATATCATATGCGAAGCTTCAAAAGTTGGGGAGGCCATATATCATTGAAAAGTAGTTATACATTTATAACATTTAACTTACTGGTATGGTTCAACATCATACTGAGGCAGTTCAAAAGTTTCCCTTATTAGAAGTAGATATGTTCAATTAGACAATTGTATGATAGAAACAATTTAGTACATTCCTCATATCAGTATATGACGTCGAATTATATCCTATAGGCTAAGGAGGATTAATGCCAATGATTAAGAAACTTCAAATCCTTAGCTGAAACATCAGAAACTGAATCTTGGTTTTGTAACAGGTGAACCCTCGGATTATCTCATTGGTTTCAGCAGTGAACCCTTTGTGGATTAATTCAATAGTTTCAACAGGATCAAGATCAACATAGGAGCATTGTCTGGGACGAAATAAAAGCACTAGGCCACTAGACAAACTAGACAGAACTCATACCCAGCAATGTATACAATGTGAAGCTAATAGGAAGTTCCGAAAAAATGGGATGAGCACTATAGTATCTATCAATGCAAGTATGTACCTAGGCGTTTACCTAAAATTAGCCTAATCATATGGAACTAAGTGAAGATTATATAATGCAGATCCTAGCAATATTGCGAACCAAATTATGCGTCCCCAATGTCCAGCATCACTAGTTCATCCGATTTCTTAAGCAGCCCCCAAGAGCCAATAGAAGGGATCTTCCGATCCCACACCCACACGAAACCAAAGGGTACCGCTGCCGCATCGCCTACAGATCCTGCCCTGGCTAACAACCTGGGAAGGAAAAACAAAATGGGAGACCACACACCTCTGGCGACCTGGGCCTTGTCGCGGAGGTCGGCGGAGGCGTAGACGGCCTGGCCTTCGCGGAGAGCAGCACCCAGGAAACCCTCTTCTTCTTCGCGGTCGAGCGTGATGGCGGGGGCCAGGTCGGCCACGCGCACCCGCCACTCGCCGGAGCGGAGCAGCATCGTCACCAGATGCCTCGCGGCGAACCCGCGGCCGCCAGTCACCACGCACCACCTCCCATCGCCTCCAGCCGCCTCCATCTCCCTTCCCGTCGTCGCCGTCGCCGTCGCTCGAATTCGAGGCAGATAGAACGGAGGCGGACACACCACTGCGCGGCTATGCCGAGTGCCCGAGTCCGGGGCTGTCCCGTCTGGCCTCTGCCCGCGATCCGATCTGTGGCTTTACTACTGGCTTTTTCGGCGTCCGAGCCTGTCGCTCCAGTAGGTCCGATTTGTCAGTGATTGGTTCATATTTCTCCCCCGTTTGCGAAGAAGCCAGATATGGCCATGCAGCCCAAGCCCGTCGGCCCGGCATGAGGCCCGTTTTTTTTGCCCGGCCCAAGCACGGCCCGGCCCAGTGACGAGCGGGCCGGGCTGGCACGGCCCGAAGGAGTAAGCCGTGCCTGGCCCTTCCCCCAGGCACGTGGGCCGGCACGGCATGGCCCGATCCACAGTGCATGGCCCGGTGGCGGTCCGGCCAGCCGGCTTGCTAAGAGCCCCAGCCGGTCCGGCCCGCCCCCACACCAGCCCCCCACCCCCCGAACTGCCGAACCCTATCCCTTCCCCTTCCCACGCCCACAAAGGTTGCCGCCACACTCGCTCCTCCTCCCTCTCCTCTGCCCACGGCATGCCACGACGCCTCCTTCCCTCGCGTCAGGAGGCGGCGAGCACGCGACGCGGGACGCCTCCTCCCTCTCCTCGGCGTCATCGGCTCCTCACGCGACCTCTCCTCTCCTCCGTGGCCGCCTCCTCCACGCCCCCCGCACCACTAGCCGGCGGCCGCCTCCTCCACGCCCCCGCACCACCGGCTGGCGCCTGGCGACGTCGAGCGCACCAGCGTCGAGCGTGGTGGCCGACCTCGAGCGGCTCCTCCGGATCCAGCTTTGAGGGCGTCAGCCTCCTCCACCGCTCCACGCCTCTTGCTTCTGTGGATCCGCGTCAAGCTCCTCGGTGGCGAGCGTGCCGGCCTCCTCCGGATCCGACGTCGATCTCCTCGGCGACGAGCGGCGTCGACCCCCTATACCTCTCGGGCTCCCCTTCGCTCTTCGCCTCTCTCTCTGTTGGCAGCCAGTGGGCCTCGGGCTGGCACGACCTATGAAATTGGTCGTGCTTCTCGGCCCGACCCGGCACGAAAATCGACCCATAGTGTCGCGTGTTCAGGCCGGGAGGTCGTGCCGTGGCCTTGTGAGGCACGGCCCGAAGGCACTGACGTCGTCAGTGCACGCACGGGCACGTCGTGCGCTTTAGGGTCGGGCCGGCCCATTGGCCATCTATAGAAGAAGCCAACCGTGATGGATCTGAAGCATTTCAGCATTATAGGGCAAAAAGTAGTGTTGTCTCGTAATAATAACTTCGTAAGGGGTGTCACAACATATACAATGGTTGTCGTAAAAAACATGTATTATTTTTTAAGTTGCCTCATAGTTATTCATAATTCATTAATTTATGGATAGAATAAAAATAAATAGAATAAAAATTAACCTATGAGTTGCATGACAACAACTACTCATACAATGGTATAATAGTTATCTCATTATAGCAATGTACTTTCCCTTAGTGTGATACATATATTTTCTAAATTTAGCTCCGCAAGCAACTTTATTAGTGGAGTTGAAGCTATTTTGAGGGTTGAACTTTTTTATTCTTTTATTTATTTCCACTTTATCCTCTTATTCATCCATCCACCGTCCATTTGTCTACCTCATATGACCCCATCTGTTTCACCTCATGGTTCATCTCGTTGTCTCGCGCATCTTCTTGCCTTCATCGGTGAGTCCAACTCTGCCCCACCCTGCTACCTTGGTTTGGCCTCAGGCCATGCCCCCACGACTCTGCCCCCACGCACGACTCTACTCCCATGCCATGCCTTGCCTGTCCTGGTGTGTGTTATGCTATATGTTGGCCAAGTTTGGCCTTTAGGCTTCTCAGTTGGAGGAGTTGCCACGACGACCATGGTGCGTCTATGCCAACGAACAGAGGAAGGTTGGAGCGGCTCACCAAGGGCTCAAGGAGGGAGAGGCTAGTGGTGCGGTAACGAGGTGGGGAAGTGGCAAGGTTAGGCCGTGTAGTGTCGAGCCGCAACATTGCTGGAGTCAGTCAGGGTGGCGTCCTCAGCTCCGGTAGGGCTGCTCTCCTCTTCTCCTTGCTTCCTTTGGGGCTTCAGCGTGCGAGCGTGGTGTGCCACTGGTGGTGGTGGGGTGGTCTAGGGCTTTGCTCGCACCTAGGGGATAGGGGCTTTATAGCGTGGTCGGGTTATGGCGACATGGCGGATGGCTCTGGGTGATCGGGGGTACGTGTAGGGCGGATAGGAGCTTAGGGCTAGGGTTTTGGCCTTCTTGCGCAATCGCACATGTCCTGCCCCTCCGAATTGGAGCGGTGGCGGTCAAAAAGTCGGCAGAGCGAGTGGTTGCGGCGATGTCAGCTCGGTGAGGGCCACGGTTGGTGCGTCAGCCTCCCTTGCTAGGGTTGGCGGGGCGGGGCCGCTGATCGTGGACGTCCATCCAGAGGGTGTGCGAGGTAGGGCCGGTGGTGGATGGTACATATAGGCATAGAGGTGCTTGGATCCTCACCGGCGTTCAAGCGCAGGTGCGGGGAAGAAAGCAGAGAGGGGGAAAAGAAGGGGACAAGTGGGGTCCTTAGGCCAACCTATCAGCCTTAGTTGTGAGAGAAAGTGGGTACAGGCGTTTCTGCCTTCCGGTGTTGTGGCTCGCCGAGGTTTGGGCTACTAGGTTGTGTGCACGGGAGAGAGAGAGAGGTGAGGTGGTGTGGGCCGGCTTCTCTTGGCCATGGTCGACGCGTGCGTGGAAGGGAGTGGCTGGAATGGGATGTTGTCTAGGCTAAGCTGACTACTGCATTGGGATCCTTCCCCCCTTCTCACAAGACACGTGCACCTGAGTGGATCACATGCAACAACTTTTCTCTTATACTCGCAAGAATAAGGCCTATAAGCTCACCCAACCACCCTGAAGAATCCAATTCCATGGATCATGTCCTAGAAGTCTCCCAACTATGAGTTACAGCTATGAATCTCTGCCTCCGACTACCACCGGAGGAGCTTCTATGAGTACCAACCAGGGTGAGTGAAAGGAAGAAGAAAATGCACGCCAGGGAACAAAGTGTGGGGGTGACTAAAGGAATGATCACCCTATTCGCTTATGCTGAAATTTGGCTTATGTTGATGCTTATGCTTAAATGTTGTGAGAGAAAAACACTGTTCCATGGCTGAAAAGTAGTTCTGAATAAGCTCAAGGCGTGCTAGGGCCGTAGGGCGTATGATGTAAGGCAAGCACGGATCACAACCTATCCTCAGTGCATATAGCAGGCGTGGTGTTGCAGTTGCACACTAGTCAACATACACATCTGTCTATTAGATCCAAGTCGAATAATAGTGTGGACCGCACTGGTTAGATATAATAATAGTTGTTGTAATTGTGCATAATGTGGTCGGTGTTGTACCTATTCATGCAGAGTGGTGTTTGTTGACGGTAGTTATCATCCATCATAAACCGTCAACTTAACTTGAATAAATGTATAAACAGGATCACCAACATAGATTGAGGGGTTTAAACTGACAATTTTCATAAGTTTTGGTGAATTTGTGTTTTTAGCAGGGTTTGTCCAGAAAGCTGTCAAGAGGGATCAAATCATTAAATAAAAACACGCTTATCCACAGCGAAAACTACCCAGAAGGTTCCAGAAGACTCGGGAAGACACCACATCGAAGCGGAGGCCGAGGCGCTGACATGTGAGGCCGACCGGCCCCACCTGTAAGTCGGTCGGCCCCTTGTCCCCACCTGGCAGTCCCTCCTTCATACGTCGGTTCTCCACCGCCTTAAGGATTGCATCTACGCCGTTCTTTTAAGTCAGTTTGATCCGAGGGCTCAGGATTGATGTTCCGGCCTATATAAACAGCCCCTGCCCCCCTCCAGAGCACACTGCCATAAGTCAAGATCAAACCAGAAATTAGGGTTTCTAGATAGAAGAGAATAGAGCTTCAATTCTTCAAGTTTCTAGTATAGGCTAGCTAGCAAGGTTCAAGTAGAGTGTGGGCTATTGCTCAGGATTCTGGATCTGTCGTCTGGAGACTGGTATAGCCATTATATCTCTAAATTTATGACTTTGTGCTATTTCAATATTATGTTGCTATTTATTATATTCCTAGTTTGCTCTAGTTATATGCTTGATGCCTTTATAGTCCACTCCCCGCTTGTAGAGCAAGTAGAAGCGAGCTTGCAAAAAGAGACAAGCTCTGTTCTTGATCTTCCTTAGTAATGTTCCTTATGCATAGATCCAAAGTTAGTTATACTATAGATGAGAGTGTATATACTTAGGTGTACAAAAGACTTAGTAAATAAGGAATGACTTAGGAATCTTTTACTTTTAATGAATCTTATGTTTAGCCATGCTACATTTTATGAGTGTCTATTTCTATCTCTAGAATACTATTATTACCTTACATTTATCATTTATTTATCTCTTGACTTACCTCTGCCATAGCATGAGTGATTTTATCATAAGTATATATATTTGTCAATATCTCTATGTCAACACAACTCCATTGCTCCTCCCTGTGGTTAAAATATAAATAACGATACCTGGTATGCTACAATGGTATATTATTTATGCGCTTGCGAATACTTTAATATATATATAATTTTTCTCTGAGTTTTCAAGTGTCATTTATAATTACCAACAATGCATTTCTGGCATCATGTTAGGGATGACAACTTAGTAAAGAGTGATGCTAAGAAATATCAACAATCATTTCTGGCACCGTTGCCGGGGAGGGGCGCATGGCTATAGAGAGTTGATCAAATAAATACTTATTGATGAAATCATAACCTCTGCTTTAGCAGGCTTACCCTTGTTTGTCTTTTTTCATATCTTATTCAGGGTATTGTAGGACTGGTTGTGATTTACCAAAAATTCCCATCAATCAGAATCAACCAAATCAAGAGGAAGCTTACCACTAGTTTCTGAGCTATGGCTAAAAAGACTCTGCGTGCGTTCTCTACTCTGAGCACTGAGAACATTCGTACTGG